CATGTCGACAGAAATTTTTCGGAAAAGAATATTTGCTCGTCTATCGCATTCCACAACACGCTCTGTTTGTCATTCTCCACTTGGTCAGCTAATACGAATTTGAGTAGCAAATACGAAGCGACCAGACCTTCGGTTACCGCCGCTGGTTGTGCGCATTGCTGAGTAGCTCTTGTTATTGCCTGCGCAAGAATCGGTGCTATCACGCCAGAATACGAAGAGGCGGGAATCGAGAAGAATAACTTGATATAGGCAGTACGCACTGCAGCAGTGGACGTTTTCGCCGCCATACCCTTTTTAAAAGCATCTACAACAATTTTTGGTACATTAGACGAGAATTTCTTTGACCACAGTGCCATCATTTCAAGAGCGTGTATCAGTGTCTTCTCATGAACTTCGGTCTCGAGTACCTTAACAAAATGCTCACAAGCCGTTTCGGCTAATTTCTGTACGCTGCTACCCGAAGCCACATTGTAACTGAGATTGCCAGCACCTTGCAGAACAGATATCTTATGTGTCGCAACCGTGAGTTTACCCTCCGATCCATGAAATACTGCAAATATGGACGATAACAATATTTCCACAGCCGTCGTATCGGAACACTGTATAGCAAGTTTGCGGCACGCTTCAACTGCTTCATCTCGGACCAAATCCTCCTTAGAATGTAGATTGGCAAATAATCCTTTACTTATTTCTTGACTATATTGACTCAAGTCAAGACTCAATCCATTTAAAATGTGCCCAACTGATTCGATTATGATTTCTGGATTTCGCAACATAGCTTTTTGTAAAGCGGGAAGTAATTGAGTTTTGAATTCCTCGTGAGTCAATCTCCGAAGAAGTGGCACAGCTGCATCGACTACATACAAATCTGGTTTCTTCTTACAACTAATCGTCACTTTTATAAAAACATCTATCATATTTGACTGAAATTTAAAAAAAAAAACACAATATATAAAATTTATTAAAAAATTATGTGTATGTGTGTGTATATTCTTGTTTCGCTTACCTTCAAATGCTCCACCAAATCATTCTTTTTTGTAGCAACTAAATATTTTGTAAGTAAACTGGCTAAAATAATTACACCATTACCAAGCTCCAATTTTATTAAATGTTCAACATAAGGTTCTATATCTTTAATGGCTTCCCATTCGTGTGCAAGTAACATATATACCTTGTTAGCAAGTTTTTTATCTGCAGACGCTAAAGCTGCAGCAGATAAATTTGCTTGTGCCTCAATGAGCTTTGCTAAAGATTCATCCATTTGAATTAAATGTTCATGATATCCATGAAAAATAAGTAAAGTTGACCATTTTAATGCGATATATGCAGTTAGAGCAGTGTTCAAGCTAAAAGAATCATTTTAGAAAAATATTATGTAAGTAAATAACTGATAGAAAATTTATTCTTGAATACGACTTACGTTGCAACCACATTCTTATGCCAGGTAGCTTGCTCCGAAATTACAGTTGTCATATGTTTGATAGTAGCATCTGGTTGTTTTTTAATTAATTCTACAATTAGGTTTTTCACGTAGGACTGAGAAGCACTATCTTTATATCTATGTAGAGTAAGTGATACCACCTTACAGATTCCATTAACAATTTTGTCATTAATGCCTGTAAGAAATAATTCATAGTTCTCATATATAAATAATTTATAATTTCCAATGTAGTCTAGTATGTAATAGATATAATTTGGTGACGTCAACAAAAATTTTTTTAGGTAAAGATGTTGCATATCGTAATATCTTTTCCCTCGAATCAATCGAATTATATACCCAGAATATTTTATTTGTTACTTTCTTGTAAGAAAATGACAAACCTATTTCAGGAATATCAGAAAAGAAGAATTTGTATTCATATATTTAATATTTTTAAGCTGTAATTAGTCCAACAATTTAAATAAATCTGAATTCCTCACTAAAAGATAAACAAGAGATTTTTATTTATTTCACAGTTAATTGAGCATGCTATTAAAAGACTATTAGAAACTATTAGAAAGCATGTTATTAAGATTTAACATATATATATGAAATTAATTTCTAAAGTGGAAAAATTATTTATAAAAAATTATAATTCAATGTTATAAAATATTCATTTCTAAAATATTCTATATACTATTTTAAGAAAATAAATTTTTATATGCTGTTATAGTTAAGCTTAATTATAGAACACAATATAATTGCAACAAACTTATTACTTGATTCAAATATATTAAATATATTTTTAAAATATTTATTACATAATTTTCACAGAAATAGTTGTCAAAGATATCGCGATATCTTTGACAATACTTAATGGAAATATTTTAAATCCCATTAAAAGTTGCAGCAAATTATTTGATTAAAATATATAAAATATTTTTTTTTTAATATGTTACATGTATTACATAATAATTTCTATAAAAATGTTAGATGTCTTTAATAATGTTTAACGAAATAATTACTGGAATTCTTAAACTTTTCATACATATCATACATATAATTTGTAATGATAATCTTTCAGCTAGATTTTAAACAGTTGGGAACTAAGATAAAAAAAGAAAAATATTTGATAAAATAATTAAAAAGACATATTGTAAATAAACTACTCCAGACCGTTCCAAAGAAATGAGTGACAGTTTTGTCAAAATCATGCATGAATCATAGAGCGACGAATCAACAACATCGTCGAAAAACGAATCTATCCCCATATTTTTATAACATCATTATACGTAAGTGTCATTTTATCTCTCATCAAAAAATAATACGTGTCTCCCGCGATCTCCTTACCGGGATTTGACAATACGCTGGCGACATTTTGCAGAATCTCACGCCGCTCCTTCTTACTGGCGGTCTGAACTCGATTTGGCAGATCCTTCAAAGCTTTTGTTAGCTACAACAAAACATATCGATTATAATAACACAGCGACGTTGAAGTAATACAAGAATTTTGTCGTATTCCACGTGACTCGCTCACCTCGACATCCGCCATATTTCTTCAAAAGCCGGACTGATCATAAAGCGCCGCTCTTCACGGGCACGTAGTTTGCGCGAACGTGATTATAGACTTCGGATTCTCGGAAGAGAGAACGGTTATCTTTTGTCCCTTCTGTCACATTTCAAAAGTGTTTTATACATATATTCATATGTTTACAAATAACAGAGTTATATATTTCTAAATGACAGAGAGTATATACTTTCTTTTACTTTCTTTAATAATAATAAGATCTGCTTAGCGTGATTGAACAAGTGTACACTTTTGGAACTTCAAATGAGATAGGTATATATTTATTATTTGTTGAAAGCGAGAAAGAACGTTTTAGTGCAATGTAGGAACAAAAAACAGATCTATGAATAAGAAAGATGTTCTATCAATAAATAAAGATGTAATAAATAAAGATGTAAAATTATAACCGTAAAATTATTGCAAATTACGGACTTAACAAATTACTGACTTTAGAATTTTATTAACAAATTTTTATTAATAAATATTTTATTAACAAATAATATTATAAAATTAATTTATTTCTCTAATAAATAAAATTTTATTTCATTCCTTTTAAAATTCATTTTAAGGGTCGACAAAAAAGTGACAAAAGAAACTATGGAGCCCTCTAGTTGAAGACGAATTTCTTTATGCTAAAATTATTGCTAAAATACTGGATGAATCGCATTTTAATTGCAATATTTATAATCAGAAAAGGCTCCTGAAAGCTCGTACAGAGCGATTTTTTAGGGAAAAAGGCAAAATAAAAATTTATTCTGATATCTCCGATGTGTACTACAATGCAGTGAAGGTATAATTTTATTATATGTATATATTTTTAAAAATTTTCAAGAATCAATTTGCAAAACCGGCTTTGTATGCGCCTTCGCATACTCTACCTATTTTCAGCGCTGGCAGTGAATTTTGAAGTGCAGCCAATAGCTGCGATCAGTAGAAAAAAACAGCTTTGCAACTGTTGTAAAATTCTGTAATATGATTGGTCTTACTCTTAGTTTCTTATTAAATCTAAATGTATAAACCAATCATATTCAAGAATTTTACAACAATAAAACTGCTTTTTCTGCTGAATCCGATCGCAACTTGAGTGAGCCGCTCGCTGTTATTAGTGAATTCTTTTAGATCATCTAATTAAAATTTTATCAAAATTTTAGATCTAGAAAAATACATCAATAACAGCGAGCGATCAACTATTGAGTCCGCCGAACGCAACCATTGGGTGCATCTAGAAGCGCAGAGCGCTCAGTGAGCTCTTGCATGTGATTGGCATATTCCATTAGAGCTAAAAATATAAACCAAGTAGGTACAAGAGCTGACTAAGCGCTGAGTGAGCGGTCATGCTTCTGGATGCATCTAAAGCACCCATTGAAGTTCAAGAGCAAGTGGCTAAGCATACTTACCGATTGAATATGATTGGTTAGATCTATAAATAACCAATTTCTCATTTCTCGGCAAGCAGGCTAGCCGCTTTGTCAACTTGAACGCGCGGAACGCGCCCATTGTTAGAAATTACTATGTCCGACATCGTGATGTGTGTCATCCAAAGTCATGAAGCTCCCATAGAAAGAATGATCGTGACAGCCAATCAGAGGCATTAATAATTGGTGTTATAATTTCCGATTGGCTTTTATTATTTTAGAACGGGTTTGCGATCGCATTATAAATTCCGCTTTAAATCTGAAGTCTAGAGGAAATTAGGAAAATAATCCTATCGCAAAGAGAATTTTCAACAGTTGTAAAATAACTGAGATAAACACTACTGAACGTGGTCAATCTGTGGCATGACAGATAGTTGACGAAAAAACAGTGCAATAAAATACAACAAAAAGCTATTTTTGAGAATATTCCTGTTTTTTTTTTTCAATTTGGATTACATATTCTTTATCTTATAAACTATTCTGAATTACAATTGTACGTTTTATAAAATTATCAGGATTGTCGGTAAAAAAAATGCATACATACTCGTCAAGTAAAAAGATTCGTGCAACAATGCCTTCGTAAAAAATGTATTTTCAAGAATGAACTTTTTCATCTCCATGTGGAAATGAGGATATTTCAAGTCCAAAATTTTTACATAAAGTACAGTCGATTTTCGTGGTACGCTTGTGATTGTTATTCCATGCAAAATGCAATGCAAAATCAATGATCTACCTGACGAATTGTTGGAGTATATCCTAAGTTTGATACCACCTTACAAAGATCTCCAAGAGTGCAGACTCGTTTGTAAAAGATGGTACCGCGCTACTAAAAGTATGTTTCTTTTACATTATTCTTTATATACTTATCATGTTAAACATATGAATATACTATAAATGAACTATCAATCCCATCAATCAATTCCACATATTAATATATATTTTTTGTTAACTAGATGTAATAGAGCATAATGAAGCGCATTTTCAAAAGTCTGTCGCTTTTGGATCTTTGCTATGGAATTCATTACCATCTATGCATTGGATATCTACTATTGGAAAAAGACACTCACATTCTGCTTGTATATATGATAACTCTATGTATGTTTTTGGTGGCTGTACAGCTACAATGACAACATTCAATGATTTATGGCAGTTAGATTTAGGCACAAGAACATGGGTTAGACCAATCACTATGGGCAACTATCCATCGCCTAAAGCTTGTGCCACTATGCTGTATTATAGGAACAGCTTAATTTTATTTGGAGGTTGGTCTCATCCGTCGCCATATCCTTTACATCAGGTAACTATTCAAATAAGAAAATGA